ACAATCAAAGAAACGATAAGGAGCGAAGCTCTTAAGCTAGATTTTCCTCTTACAGTTCTTTGAACACTTTAAGGGAGAAGATTTGTGAGAATGCATAATACAGAGTTTAAAGATGTCTGGATAAAATACCCACAACCAGTTAAGGAATCCTCTAGGATGGATAAGTTTGAGTATTTTTGTTTCCATAAGAGTCACAACCACAATACTAATGAGGGTTTTTACCTGGAAAAAACTATTGAGGAGTTGATAAAAAAAGGGCGCCTCACAGAGTATATCCAAGAAAGAAAGAAGAAGTCTAGAGGATGGGAAGAGTCGTCAAAAAAGAAACACTCTCCTCACATGGGGAATTGAAAGGGAAAACACCAATACATCACTTCTATCCCGAGTGACTTCGCTAGGCCGAGAAACCCTTCCAAAGGGACTATAAAAAGAAGGATTATTAAGTTGATGGTTGTAAGTAGGTGAAGCTGGGGAGTCCTAGCTAGCCAGGAAACAAACAAAGCAAGGCGAGACTATAACCTGCAAGAGACAATAATCCCCAGCAGAGTCGCCAACTGAAGCTAGCGGAGTTATACCTGAGTAAATCGCACACTCAAAGATACAACAGAGTCGCCACCAAACTTTATTTAGTCCTAAAGAACAGGGAAAATATCGATAAAACCCAAGGGAAGAGAAACTGGAAGGGGTCGGTTATGCGACTGGAAGGTACTAGCACCTTAAGCATCTGTCATACCTGACAGGAACCATTTCGCTTACTTCTAGGCTTGGATGGTTTATCTATCTATAGGCTTCTAGCTAAAAAAGGAAGGAAAGAATAGAAAGAAAAAGAAAGAAAAAGAAAGAAAGGAAAGTGCTCGAGGAGGATTGGGGCCCTCGTGCCTACATACCCTCATAGTGCAATGAAGAAGTCAGAGCTCCGTAGTTCAAGGAACCAAGGAAAAGAAGAGGATCTAGACGAACCAAAGAGACAGAAGAATGGAAGAAAACGGGGGAAGGTGGCTCGCCAAGATTTTGCAATCTTATGCCTACATATTCTTATAGTGCAATGAGGAAATCAGAGCCTACGTAGTTTGGGGAACTACTGTCGGGAAAGAAAAAGGAAAGAGACGACGTCAAAGCCAAAAAACAAAAAGAGAAAGCAAGACCCAATTGGGGAATGCAAGAGGAATGGTGTCAAAACCAATAAAACTCTGTTGAGGAACAGAGAAGCAAGACAAGAATTCTGCCGAGGAATGCAGAAGAAAAGAGATGACTCCACTTGGGAGAAAACAAAAGAATGGCGATGTGGCCGGGAAAAAGGAGTAAAGGACAAGAATCAAAATAAAGGTAAGATCCACAGGGGAATTGGTGCATTAACTGCATGCAGTGATTAACCGGAGAAAGATAAGAGTAAAACTCTATGGGGAGAGCAAAAAGGTTGGTGTCAACAGACGGACTGTGACGAACCAAGAGAAAGAGAGTACTGAACCAAAGGGAGGTGTTTGACTCTGAGGGGAAATTAGTATATTAACTGATAAACAGTGGTTAACCGGAAAGAGAAAGGAACTGGTTTTAACCGATAAACGGTGATCAACCAAGAGACAGGTGTGGAACCAAGAAAAGATTGTGACCCAAAGAACGACACATTGACTGAACAAACAACACTTGGCCAAAGAAAATGGGTATTTGAACCGAACAAAGGTTAATAACCCAAAGCTGGCAGTTATTGAACCAAAGAAAGGTTGCTAACTGCAGGGGGTTTGATGCTTAACAAAAGGACTGTGATTAACCAAAAAGAATGAGTGATTAACCAAAAGAAGGTGATTAACTCAAAAGAAACTCAGTACCTTAACAGGCGTACTGTGGTTAACTGAGAAGAAGAGGTAATTGGTTCAAACAGGTGGACTGTGATTGACCAAAAGGCGTGTGATTAACCAAGAGAAGGTGATTAACCCAAAGAAAAAGATGGTTTTAACGGGCAGACGGTGATCAACCAAAGATCGGGTAATTAGCTGGAAGAAGGCGATTAACCCAAAGAAAATTAAGTATTAACAGACGGACTGTGATTAACTGAGGAAGAGATAATTGGTGTTTAACTGTCAGACAATGATTAGCCAAACACAAAGGAGAGAGAACCAAGAGAAGGTTATGAACTCTGATGGGGTTAGGTTTTAACAGGATGACTGTGTAAACCGAAGAAGAAAGACTGACTTCCCTAGGGAAGAAAAGATTTGGCTTTATCCAAAGAACGGTTGAATAGCCAATAAAAGAGTGTTGAATTGAAAGGAGGAAGTCACTTCCAAAGAGGAGATAAGGGTGCAAGTGATGAAGGATTGAATCGACTAGAGAAAGCAAGGGTACCATAGTAAGAAGATAGAGGCAACTATTCCAGGCACAAGGTCATTCGTCCCCTACCCAAAATAATCAGAATGAGTGTAGGAATTCTCCATTCTCATTCCTTCTCTAACAACAAAGTGCGGTGTAAGAAACGAAACAGGAAACACAACGGTGCCAAGTTTGT